ATAGTACTCCTGAATAATGATTAAAACATACTTATATAAAGATTCACTAAACTCTAAAATATACTTGCAAATTTATGCCCCGCATCAACCTTAATTTTAAGAGTATTAAGTGCGGTTCTTTGAAAATTAATTTGATTCTCTAGATCAATATAATCTTTCACAATAACATCAAGTTAATTGAGCTAATTATATGTAATAAGCGTGTTTAGAATGAATGAAGCAGAACAACTATTGCTAGATAAAGAATCTTATTTACCTTTTCTTGTTCTTCAGCCTCTTCAAGATCAGTTGCTGCTTCTGTTGTAAAAGTAATCCCTCATATGGCAAATTGCAACATTTTGTTGAAATCTCTAAATAAACTATCGAACTCTCTTTGTTCACTATACTGAGATATACCCAGTGACCCTCGAGAGCAACTAGACAACATGTTTGAAAATGCTTTGGTAAACGAACACGTTGTTTCATACACATGCAATATCGATAACTGGTACAAAATAAATTTGTTACATTCCCTTTTGTTCAGTGTGAAATCTCAAGGTTTTGTCTAACAAACTATATTTTTCACTAATATGATCTGCGCTTTATATTTCGGGACAAAAAAAGCTAGATACGACAATTAGAGGAATGAGTAATAAAAAAAAATCTAAGTTTTAATTTCATTGTGAAGAATTTGGCTCCTGAAAATTATTATAATACAATTATGATAATTTTTCAGGGGCTAAGTTCTTTGCTTTTTCATTTTTGCACATTTATAATCTACTTTTGTATAATACCAATCCAACTGTGAAAATTTTAACTATTACTTTGTTTGCCTGAGAGAGGTGTCAAATAAATAAAAGAAACAGGAGGAACTATCATCCAGTGTGTAACATGTACTAGCGGTTATTGTAAAATAATTTTTTTATATGTTGCTATTGTTTATTATTATAATTTTTTTTTGGCTTACAATAAGATGATTGTTTGCCAATATGTACCAATATCCATCAGATTAAGCAATTTATTAAAATCAGGTCCCTCCTGATTATATGCTGAATTGTACCAACAATTGACATAAATCAGGACTAATTATTTTAGAATTTTATACAAATCGGGTTGCTGCATAAATTTGCATCAATTAGGGCTATGACGAATTTGTAATTTAACAACAATTGGGCATATATCAAGTTAAAATAAAACATATGCCCGAATTTTTTTACTTTGACTAGTGTAAAAAAGATTCTCTTGGAGTAGATATAGGAATAATATACCGTTTAGCAAATACAATTTATTGTAGGCTCCAATTGCCTGAAGGACCAATGAAAAAATTAACTACTCAAGAAGAAAAAATGCATAATTCAGCTAAAGAATATTGGATATGTGAAAAGCCATTTGGAAAAGAAAATAATCTTAAAAAAGTTGAGACCATGACTATATTACAGGTAACTATAGAGGTCGAGCCCATAGTATTTGTAATCTCCAACTACGAATCAAACCAGAGGAGTTTAGATTACCAATTTATTTTTAAAATTTAGATAAGTTTGATGCTCATCTTATTTCCCAAGCTATGGGACGAGTAAGCAAAGAAAAGATAAGTGCAATTCCTCATAATATGGAAAGTTATCTCACTCTTGATATTGGAAATCAATGATATATGGATTCTTTACAACTTATGCCTGGATCTCTTGATTCTCATATATCTAACTTAGGAGCTGAACCATGTAAAGAGGAAGTAGATAAAGATGGAAATTCTTTAAACTTACTATGTAAAAAGCTCGATCATCTTTATCGAATTGACTCACACTAGTCAAAGTAAAAAAAATCGGGCATATGTTTTATTTTAACCTAATATATGCCCGATTGTTGTTAAATTACAAATTCGTCATAGCCCTGATTGATGCAAATTTATGCAGCAACCCGATTTGTATAAAATTCTAAAATAATTAGTCCCGATTTATG